CGAGTCCGAAAGGTACTTTTGTCCATCCATCTACTATCCATCTATCTTTACCAATTTTTTTTCCATCCTCACATGTGAGGTGAATTCCCGCCGATGGTATCTCGACTCGATTCGTTCGGGTTGGCCTCCGGTCAGCCCCCGGGTCTCATTTCCGGAGCGCCGTAGCGCCGGAGCGACCGTGACCCGGATCGGAGCCACCGACGACGACGACGACGACGTGTGCCGAAGAAAGTACCGAGTTCATAGAATAGAAAGTCATTTTTTCCATTTAAAGAAATATGGGAAAAAACATTACTCACAATCAGGTGAAGAAATGGTGCAGGATGAATGGACGGTTTAATGGTATTACTGCGGTGTTTTAAGTTTTATTAGAAATTATGATTGGAAATTGCATAAGAATTAGGCCAGGTTAGTGATCTGTTATTGGGGTAGACGTTAGGCAAAAGCCTAATTTTATAATGAATGAAATAAGGATAAGGTGCGGTCGTTTTAACCGAATTACATTTTAACGATAATGCTCATGTTCAGCACAATGCAGTGTTTTTAGTACTTCATTAGAATTTATGATTAAAGATGTTCGATTTTATAATTCATTTTGAATATATAGGACGACGTTTTTAGGTTAATTGTATTATAGTTAAGGTTGATTGAACATTAGAAGAAATTTTAGTTTACTCATTTTATTATTTACTTCTAAATGGATTTAGACATATGAGTTTCAAGACGAATTGAACAATTTTTTTCCATACAATATGTAAAGATTATGATATAGTTTTTTCTTAAAATACGTAACATTTTTTAATGTTAAACGCTTTAAACTGAAGGTGTTCAAAATATCATGATACATCAGTATGTAGATTAGTAGACTAATCAGAAGTACCTGTTTCTCCACTATTTTTTTCCTCAGCGTTTTTCCCGAAACTATTTTTATTATCGATGCGTTATCCAAGATCTCTTAACAACTCTTCAAAAATTAGTTAAGTTTAAAATTTTATTTCAAAGTTAGAATTTCTTTAAATTGACGAGTCTTGAAGGTGCGTAGTGACGTAAATTACTTTTGTCCATTCATTCATCCATCAGATGTCTTCGCCAATTTTTTCCATTCTCACCTCAAACCTCATTATCTATACAGATGTTGTTATTTCAAAAATTATTTTCTTATTATTAGCTTCGTGGAGGTGAGGTTTTATGTTTTCTTGACCATTGAAGTCATTCTTAATCGTTCGAGTCCAAATTTGGAAAAAATATTTGTTTGTATGCACTAGTATAAAATTTCAATTGCACGTTTTTACCAAAAAAAACGATTTTGAACATGTAAGAACTGTTCTAAAGGCATCAATTAGAAGTCGTGCTCTTTTTTGGTAAAATTTGGCGGGCCGTTTCTTTGTTTAAATAAAAAAAATATGATATTTTAAAGAATCTTTGTAATCCGATAGAGTTTCTGATCTTATAAATTACCTAGCGCGCTTTGTGCAATATTATCAATAAATTAGCAATTCCAGATTATGTATGTTTATTTGAAAAATATCATGGAATTCGCATTAATTGGAAGTGAAACTTGGGGGCCAATTCTGGGATAAAAGTAGTTGAATATGGAATTTAGCCTAAAGGCAAGTTGCATGAACTTTCCGAAATGTGTAAGAATTGACTTAATCAATCGAAATTGAAATTTTGATATTTGGATAAAATTTTCAACTGTTTATTTCAAAAAGAAAGTTATCGCTTTCATTTAAATCTAAACATTGCGATTTTCACTAGAATTTTCTCAAACACATTTAAATTTACTGTAATTATATTAATTGTATTGCACAGACACTATAGTGTTTGTATTCCCTAAAATTGTAGCTTGTTATTTTAAATTTAATTAAAAACCAATGCATTTGCTGTGCGATCAGGCGTTCAACACTTAAAATCTAACTTCACGTATGTGTTATCAATGGCACATCAGAAAGTTGCTCTTGTGTAAACTTTGGTACTTGTTTGTGTAATTGGTATTTGTAAAAAATTGTCTTTTATGCGTTTTGGAGGTTAGGTTTTGTGTGTCTGCTCGCGCAGCAAATACATTGCGAATTGACTCTCATAATATTAAATTACGCATTGTCTATATTTTTCACATTTTATGATTTTTAATAGTATACCATGAACCATCGGATTAGGAACTTAAATTCTTCTGAAATATTTCTTAGTTTTTAATTTAACTCATTTTTTCTTATTAAATATTGTGTCCATAAAATACATAATTTAAACGTGTGTAATTTTTAAATGGAGTAAAATATTAAAGGCAACAGTAAACGTAATTAGTGTTTTAATAATGATTTTATAAAAAATGTTTGAATTTCGAGTTTAAGACGACTTGTATTGTTTTCTTTAGTGTCTATTTACTTTATGAAAAATGTATGATTTTAGAGTTACGTTATCACAAGACGAGTTTTCTAGTATTTATACTAAACAAAAAAATTTTAGGTACGTTTTATTTAATATAATGTAGTAACATTTTGTCACCCACGTGGTTATCCTTTGACGTGAGCTTTTTGGCGTGCAGAAAAAGCTCGTTTGCGCAAACTCCACGAAAATAGTGAGCTTTTCCTTTCCTTGGCATGTGTCTTGTTATGTGAACTATTGTACGACTATAAATAGTGTTGCGCTAAACTTGCTCCAGTTCGAACGCGATTCTTATAGAAAACCAACCACCTCTCAGAAAAAAATGTGTGTGATTGTTTGTGATAAAGACTAAAAAAGCTAAACAAAGTTGGGTGAATTTAAATGTAAAGGAAATTTTAAACCAAACTGATCATTTTAAATAAATAACTACTTTCTATAAATCTTAAAATTTGGCTAGAATTAAATGCGTTTTTAATCGTTTAAACCGTTTAACTCAGTTTTCTTCTTGAAATTTAATACACTTTTTAATAAACAGATTTAATAAATTTGGTTATCAAACCCAAAATGTTGATATTTTTTTATAAAAATTATTATATAGTTCATAAAAGCGGATTTTTCACTTTAAACTGTACTCTGATATAATTTTCTTTAACACCAAATCAAATGTCAATTCTTATAAAGTTCAGAATTTCAGATAATATAGGGTCCGCCAAATAATTTTTTTTTTTACAAACTACTGAATATTTTCTCAAATTTCTTTTTTTATTTGAAAGTACAATCCTTTCAGTTAATAATGAAATTAATTTGGTTAATAATGATTATAAAAATTTCGTTCAAAAATGAAAAAAAAAAGCCTCGGGTGACCGTTGAAAAAAAAAATGAAAATGAAAAATGTTAGATGGCATACCCTATATTAAGTTTCTCTAAGGACTCTAAGTAAAATTACATTCAAACCATATATTCATGTAAATTTTTTTTAAGTAATTAATATTTTATATCGAAATATGCAACTGTTACTTATTATATAGTAATCATAAAATTAAGTGCACCTTTTTTTAAATTACAATATTTGTTACAACTGCTAAATAATTTGACATCTAGTAACAATAATGAACAATAACATAAATTCAAATAAAAAAGAGTACAAAATAAAGGATAGAATTGACATTAAAATGATATACGTAGTATGATGATTTAATATAAAATAAAAGCAAATAATAATAAAAATAAAATTAATAAATAAAATAAATAAAGTTAATAACAAAAGAATCAACATATTTTAAATTTACATTTATAACTTTACAAATTTGATATTTCTATAAAGACAATAAAACACAAATCTAATTAAATAATTATTATTACGTTAATAGCTAAAACAGTTACGAACAAAATATTTAAATTAATTATATTTTAAAACGTTTACAATGTAATTTTAAAATTAAAACCAAGCTTATTTTTGGTATTAAAACTATTTTAGTATAACTTTCATGCCCATTTTATGTTCAATAATAGTATTATAATTTAGGTATATAGTTCTGATAGTATGAAGTGTATTTTTAATCGGTAAAAACATTTTTTTCGATTTTTTTTAACTTAAATGATTATTTTATATAAAAACTGATGTTAGTTATTAAATAGTTCTGATAAAAAAGATGTGAAAAATTAAACTAATGTGAACTATCATAAGATTCTGATAAATTAAATGCATTTTTAATCGTGAAAAAACGTTTAATACTTCGAATTCAGATTTATTTATGTAAAATAAACTTTACATGGAGTTAATATTTTTTTGCGTGAATATTATAAATAAACAAGATTTTAAATCGTTATTTTCATCTTATTTAAAGGCTAAAATAATTTTTAGGCCAAATTTAAGCAAGAGTTTTTAATTCATACTATCAAGGAGTATATTTATTTACAATTTATAATATAAATGTGATATGTTAAGCAAATGTTCTAGGAAATATTTTATAATTCTGAAAAACATTAAGAGGGTATTTTTCTCCTATTTTTAATACCGATTTATTATATTTTTTGAGCAGAATACGATATGCTTTTATTTTTATTTACACAAAATATTGTTATTTTTGCACCTTTTGTGACATGAATACAAAATGTTTTATATTATTTTAAACTAACAGTATTTAGTGTTAATCTATTTATCATTAAGTACTATCAATTATTTTTATTAATACTAAATATTGCCATTATTAAACCAAGATTTAAATACTATTATAAATTTTTAGAAATTTGATTAATTTTCTGCATAATTTATTATTTTCCAAAAAGAGAAAATACTTTTGTGAAATTGAACTTAATATGTTTGAAAATGAACTGTTTTAATAAAATTAAATTACGAACCAGAAGTAGTTATGTTATTTATGTCTATAAAATTTATATTTTTATGGAACTTTCATTGACAATTTAATTTATATAATAAAATCTAGCTTTCGATTTCTACAAACATTACTTTTGTACCAATAAAAAATGCATATTTGTCGACGATTTGATTTTATCAAGTGTTTTGCAGGTGATGACATGTGTTAAAGTGTTAATGTTAAAAATAATCCTATAAAATGTCTTGATAATACAAAGTCATTACAAAAATTAACCAAGAAATGTCGGATTTAAGGTAAGTCATAGTCAAAAATCATAATTTGTGTTTTATTATTATTTTATTGTATTACATGAGATTTAAATATTTAAAAAATGTGAATTTTAGAATGAATTTGTATTCTACATCTTAATTAAATATTTATATTGTCTTTATTTGATCCTCCAATATCGTTATCTTGTAAAATTAAATTTTGGGCGAAATCATACTGAATAACGAATTGTTTTAATTTACAGTACCATCAAGTTAGTTCAATTAGATATTTTATATAAAATGTATAACAAAGTTGGGAAAATATTTTTGTTGCAGTATATTATGAGTATAATAATTATCGATTCAATTTAATTTTTTGAGCATAATATAGTTTGCAATTTTATTCAAAATTGAATCTTTTCAACAGATTGCGTTTTGTATATGCAAAACATGCAAGTATCGGATATATATCAATTACTCTAAAAATAGTTTATGTACAACATAATGTGAAATTGATATAAAATACTTATATATTGACTATAATATACTCTAAAATCTAAAATTGTTAAAACTAGATAAAAAATACTGTTAAAAATACTGTAAAGTTGGTGGAATAATATTAATAATATTTTACTTATGTATGGGACTTAAAATTTAAATGTCTATACATTTTCAGAGTATAATTTAAAATGTTCGAGTATTTTTAGAAAATTACTTAAATTGAATACGAAAAACAGTCATTTCTTTAAATATTTAGAATCACAATTATCTATTTAGTTTAATAGAACTGTTTCAGTTTCGATCAAAAAATAAATTGTGATATAAATATTAAACTTTGAGAATTAAATTTAAAATTTTGAGAACTTTTTACATTTTTCTTGTGATTTTTTTTTACATTGAAGCAAAATTCCCCCTAGGCAAGTTTCACTTTCTACCAGTTGATTTTCTTGGAAATTTTTCTGTAAAAAAAGTCTTTTACAATTGTGTATGATTTTTTATGGATTTATGTTATTATGATTGAGGGTAATTTTACTTAATTCATTATGAAGCTCAGGTCAATGTCAGGGTTAAAGGTACATCAACCTTCAACCTGACATTAAATATAATTACCTATATACTCACTTACCACTAATTGTAGGTTCTTTGGGCTGTTTAATATATTATGTTAAATACACATCAGTTATATCGACAGAATATTTTCTATAAATTTGTATCTAAATACATAAATGTAATGGAAATTATGAATATTGATTGCATTTGTAATTAAAATTATTAGAAATGACGTCTTTTATGTATCAAAGAAAATTCCGAAATGAACAAGGCATTTCGGTAACCACATCATTGATTTATTGTACTTTTACTTTTTATAATTATTTTATATGATTTTTTAAAATTATTATATATGTTTATATTTCAAAAAATTATAAGTTTAAAGTTAATAAGATTTATCAAATTTTTAAATTTGCAATTGACATTTGTACAAAAAAAACTCAATACTCGATTATAAAATTACTCTAATGATGATAATATAAAACTATTTTTTTTAGTTATTTTAATTATATAACTTAAGTTGTAAATTTAGTCACCTCGAATAATTGTTGACTTAAACATATAAAAAATAAATAAGGCACTATTTCTTATAAATGTTTCAAGCAGTAATAATTTGAAAATATGAAAATAATGCTCAGAAATCAAAAGTGCATGTCATTCCATTTAATTTAAAATGTAATAATTACACAGCGTTAAAATTATTTTTAGCAAATACATAAATGCTGATTACAATTTCTTCAGACTTTCAGAATTCATCGCATGTGAAAGAACAATCTATATAAATAATATTATAAATATACTTTTGTAATAAATTCAACACCTTGAGGAGTTTATGAACTGATAAAATATTTGCCACTGATAAAGAATTGATGGTGCCTGTTACAGACATCCAAAAAATAAAATCTATAAATAAATTTTATACTCGTCGTGGCTTTGTGATGAATGCTTGGTCTTGCAACCACAGGTGCACTAGTTTTAAAGTTATGTAGTTTTTGACATGATTAAAAAATTAACTAGTTTTATCCAGAAGGCATTTTTAATTTTTTAATCATGTCAAAAACTACATAACTTTATTATTTGCAGTAGAAAAATATATTTATTACCAGACAGGTGATGGGCAACCCGTAAGTTGCATTCTAAAAATACTGGATTACTAAATTTACATTTTGAAAAATCTCAAAAAATCAATATAATATGAAAAAGAAATACGATTATAGTAGTGTATGAATATGTAAAAATTTGCGTAGTGGCTAGTTAAAAAAATATTAATAAAACTATCAAATTTGTGTTAAATTACTATTTTTCTCATTCGGAATAATTTTAATCCAATCATATTTCTTATATAATTTTATAAATAAAGTAACGATGATAAAAATTAGGTTTAAATATTTCTAAATTGTATATATTGCTCTATGTAACTTTAAAAATGAGTAATAATTACTTAAATTCTAATAATTATATATTCAATTTTTGGTTAAAATATAATTTGGAATTTATTGTTATTATATACTTAATGATAGTCAAAATGTAATTCGTGTAGTATTTTTATAGGAAAAACTTAATTTGAGAAGTAAAATCCTCGTTGATAGAGGATATTGACCTTGTCTTATATTATTAAAAATTCATATTTCTTTTAGGTCGATATAAACGTTCCTACACTTTTAATACATAAAGACGAGCCAGTAACTAGGCGTCAGTGGAATATTGCCTTAAGAGGGAAGCCTGTTTTGGAGGCTTTAGAAAATCGCTTTTTTAAGGAATTTTTAGAGACGGAAATAAAAATTTAATTGAAACGAAACTTTCAGGTTTTATTATTATTTATTCTTCTCAATTTTTTTTATTAAAATATATGTTATAATATGCAGGGTACGAGCATTTTGCCGATGCGCCACGAGTGTGCAGATGGAAAAGACTCAGGTCACAATTTCCATCTGAAACAAAAAAATCAAAACAAATATATATTTTCAATAGTATAGATTCTAGTGGAACCTAAAAAATCAAAAAAAAAATGAAGAAATTCACCAATTTTTCGCAACTTGAAAAAACAATCATGTTTTTTAATACAAAATTTTACTTTAAATTGTTTAAAAATTGGGTCAATTATAACTTTTTTTTAGGTTAAACTAGATAATAGGTTAATCCTAAAAACAATAAATTTTATTTTGTTTCTATAGGATATTTAGTTTTTCATATCTTTCCCGCCAATGAGGAAGAATAAAAAAAATTAAAATTAAAAACCGTTCGTATACATGCTTGACGCTTGCTCGCTATTTCTTCTGTAATTCCGATAATAATTTGAATTTGTTTCTGAAATTTTAGGGATATATTCTTGGCTAGCTTTGAAAGACATTTTTGCAAGAAAAAATCGATTTTTAAAGCCTTTAAAGCACGGTCCCCCTTAAGGAAAGTTGCGAGAGGTCTCCGATACCTGAAAATAATCAATGTGAATGGCCATTTATTTATTTATGTAAATTTTTCAACCTCTAAAATAAAGTATGTTCTTATGCGAACCTAATAAATATAATTTAAAATTCATATTCATTTATAAGCAGACTTATAATGTCAATAATTGAATTACTTAATTTCCCTTAGGGCAAGTTATTTTAAACGTCCAAAAATCAAAATTGAAAACTTTTGCATTTTTTTACGTTTTGAAGGTTCCTGAACATTTTGGCATATCTAAGAAAAAATTGATGTATGTGTGTCTGTATGAATGTATACAATTTTTCGTCAACGTTTTTACGAGCAGTTACAGCAATTTGCCTTAAGACACGATGTCATGCAACTTTAGTTTTTATTCACTGTTTGTTATATGTTATTTTTTCATACACTACTTTGCAAATTAACGTTAACGATATCCGCCTTGGGCAGCCTGATGTCAAGCGGCAGTAACTTCAGTTTTTACAGAAAATATGGATATCACTTTTCAAAAGCAAATAGCTCTTACCTTCATCACTATTTCATTAATTGGGAAAACAACTATTGAGTTGTTTTTCTAACATGTCCATTTAGTATACAATGTCCCTTTACGGCTAAAAATTGTAATTTCCCCAAATTTATTAAATGTCCTTAACTGAACAGTTGTAAACAAAATAGAGGATAAACAAAAACAATTCATCAATTGTAATAATAAAATTCATCAAATAGAGATGAGATAATCTTTGGGGTTGCCACAATGTAGCAAGTAAGCACAACGACTCATAAGACCCAAATAAATTTTTTACATTCTACTTACAATTTGCATCAAAAATCTATTTTTTTTTTCAAATTTTTATGGTAGACAGACAATTAAAAATGACTACAAGTGGTGAGGTGAAAAATCATTAAAACTAGGTCAGCGTTCCAGGTGTTTGATTAAGGAATGGGGTTAAGGTCGCTCTAGTGAAATAATTGCGATTACAAATCGAAAAGAAAACGAACTTAAATGTGGAATCGCGTGACGACGCCCTTATGTATATATAAATATACATGTGCGATATTATTCTTTTAGTGCAGAGTTATAAAAATAAAATGAAAAAGAAATTTATTAAAACATTATAAATCTAAGGAACGGGACATATAATGGTGGAGTGCAAGTCTTTATCAACCTTAAAGAATATATTCAAACTACAAAAAGGTGTTGAGAATCTCTTTTGAAAATTTTAAATTACAGTGCGAGAAGTTCCAGTAATTTGGCTTAAGGCACGATGCCATGCACCAGTAGTTTATTATTAACTTCCCGTAAGGCAAGTTATAGTAATCGCAAAAAAATCGAAAATGAAAATTTTTATATATCTTTACGTTTCAAAATATTCTGAACATTTTGGCATACCTTAGAAAAAAATTATGTACGTGTGTGTGTGCGTGTGTGTATGTATGTGCGGATACAAATTTTCGTCGACGATTTCGGGAACACGGATAAAGTTATTTGAATAATTCAAAAAACATTCGATTCGTATCGATAAGGAGACGTGTTAATTAGTTTTTGGCGAAGGCAGGTCTAGCCGTTCCAAAAA